GGCAAAAGGGGCAGAACCCAAATTTACCATTCAAGAAAATATCCACGAGCAACAATATTTGTTGGAGGTGAAAAAAAAGATAAGAGAAACTTTAGAAGGCCACATAAATTGAAATGAAGGTGATCTGTTGGCACACGGTACCCCCAGCGAAACATTACAATAGTACAGACTTGGTCTTGTCTCTTTCCCTTCTCTCTCTGTCTCTCCGTGCATCGGGCAGACACCAGTGAAAAGAATCGCGAGTATCTTTGCCTCGTCAGAGAATCTGGGTGTGGAGAGAGGGAGAGAGGGAGGTGGGTGTGCGAGATCTTGTCCGAGAAATGCGGTCAATACCGTTAGGAACCGCCGTGTGCCCAGCTCTCCACCGAAACAAGAGCACCCACCTCAATTCCAAGAAACTCTCTCGCTTCCCTTCGCCTGGGGTCCCTCCTGCGCTCGATGACCACCTTCCCTCTGGACAAAGTACTTCCTCTTTCCTCTGGGACTTTCTTCGGCTCTTCCTTGCTCGTAAAGCTTTGATTTTGAGTTTGATTTTGGACGCGTGCGTGTGTAGTTGGCCCCATAACGCCCTTCCCTTCTTTCTTTCTTTGTTTCTGGGAAATTCTTCGCCGCGATTTTGGTTCTTGAGATGCTTGGTTGCTGAGAATTTAGAAATTTGGGATTTTGATATTGGTTCACACGTGGGGTTGGTCTCCTGAGCCAGAGAAATATGATGTTATGGGTTGAATTACTTTGAGGGAATTCCTTCTTTGCGGTGTTGAACTACAGAACTGGTCGCTGTTTAGTGCTTCAAGCTACTCATGGGTGATGGGTGTTTCGTCTGTGCTGATTTGGTAATGTTGGTTGCATTCTGCCCTTTCTTTGCTTTGATCAGAAATAGATTATTTTGCTTTCAATCATCTTATTCTTGGTCTTGCCTTTTTTTTTTTTTATTGAATCTCTGGAGCTCCAGTTGCTTTCTCCTAAGATTCGGGAATATGTTTGGGGAAACCAGAAACGACATTTCTTAAGCCCAACACTGCAGTAAGCTTGCATATGCACTGGGAATTGTTTGAGAAAGAATTTCTTACGGGTGCTCCTCGTTCTAAGTGCAGGACTATGCAGAGCCAGCCAAGTGGTGGAATTATTTCCAATGGTCTCTCCCGAGATTGTTGTCCGGGAGGCTCGGTTAGAGGACTGCTGGGAGGTAGCCGAGACTCACTGCAGTTCTTTCTTCCCCGAATACTCGTTCCCTCTGGATTTTGTCTTGAGAATTGACAGGCTGGTGGGAATGCTTGCTGGATTCTCGATACCAAATGGTTGCCGGAGAGTGTGCCTGGTCGCTGTCATTGGCAGCTCAGGCGGTGAAGCCTTGTTATTTGGGAGTGAAGACATCAGAATAGGTGGTTTTGATGGAAGATTTAGTGTCAATAAGGGCTATGTTGCTGGTATATTGACAGTGGACACTGTTGCTGACTTTCTACCAAGAAAGGGACCGCTAAGGCAGAGAAGGTATGAATTCTGTTAACAAAACCATATCATTTTTTTTAGCTGTCAAGTATTCTTTTTCAGGATCTCAGTCCTCGCCCATAGAAAATTCAGGCTGATGGTCTTGATATCCCAAATTCTGGCATAATCAGCTAGTCTACCATCTGTCAAGATTGTATTTTTTTTCCTTGTAATAAGAAAATTCTTGAGTATTATATTGCTTGATTTAATTTGCCGTGAGCACTTGACATGAGTCATACTTTAACTGTTTATGTAAAACTAAACAGGCCGTAAACTCCTTTACCTTATGAATGAACCGAAGTTGCATTACCAAATGGGCCAAGGCAAAGAATTAAATAACATGTTTTGGAGGTAGAACTAGAAGGTAGATGTCCTGTTGCTTCCCCCTAGTAGGGTCTAGAGAGATCGAAATTTCTTCTATTGTTAGAAAGTCCAACCAAGTTGCTTAAGCTAATAGGTGGAGGGAGACATATGTATATAAAGAGCATATAAACCCCATTATCAAACGATATCCCATATATTTTCAAAACCCCATCTCATGTATAAGCCGGATTAGGAGTATCACGTGAAATTTGACTAATAGGGGTGAACCTGGCTTTGTTACCATGTTAAAAGTCCAACCCAAGAGCTTAAACCGATACGTGAACAGAGGCCATATGCATATAAAGAGCATATAAATTCCATTGTCAAGCGATGTGGATATCTTCAACATCTATATTTCATCTTTTGACCAGCTATAAAGGTTTCGCATCTTCACATGAAACTATAGGTAGTTTATGACTCTCCTTTTGGGGATTCCAGTGTCAACTCTATGCTATAAGTATGTGGTATCTTCCTGGAGATCAGGGAACCTGATGCATTTTGCATGGATGAATGGTTTGCAGAGTGTCTTTGATAAATTTTCGTTTCCTCCTTGTGAAGCAAGCTGATGTCTGAGATAACATGTCACTTGTCACATAGTACCATACTGCAACTATGATCTGGCGAGAACTGAGTAATATTAAATCAATCCACTCAAGCATTCAGAAAGGCATTACCTGAAAGTTATTTTTAGGAGTGACTAATTAAAGCCTTCCCCATGACTATCCATGACTTCTGACTGAAACCTTCTAGTTGTATCGCAAGGTAAAAAGCTGTCTTGCATAAAAACATGAAGCTTCCCGGCCAGTGTGCTGATCAGAGGTAGGAAATTGAAGTTGCTCTAACTTATGGGAAAGGGAAATAATACATCCGTGGTCTAGTTTTAGATGAGAAGTGAGAAGTTTCTCCATTTTGTGTCTTACATGGCATTGGCCTTTGCTGTTACTTCAATACTTATGCTCACCGAGTATATGCACACCCTAGCACTTTTTCTGTGATGGGAGTGGAGGAGGCTGGGTCTGTTGCTGGGAATGGTTATTGTAGTACAATTTGTAGTGGGGATGTTGTTCTCATTCTGAATCTCATCTGCTGTGGAAAGATGTCACATTCTATCTTAAATAGGGCATTCGCTTCCACCTCAAACTTATGTAACGATCATACTTTGACTATGAATAGTTTATCATGTCTTATTGGAGATTTTACCCGATATTCTTTGAGGTTAATATGTGGTGACAGAAAAATGGACTATGGTGTTGTAACGTTATTTAGTTCAAAGCTGTACTGGATGTCATCACATATACCTTTGTGGGAAGCAACTTCATTGTTGTTGTCGGTGTTGTCATTGTCGTTGTTAATGTTGGTGGCATTGGAGCGATATCTATGTTTGCTAGAGCAAATTTTCTGTGTTTTTTTTCTTTTTGAAATTTTCTGGCCTTTTTTTTCTACTAGAGTGAATTCTCTTTACTTCACAGTTTTATAAATGAACTTTGCACTTTCGTGCCTAGTCAAAGTCAACATTTAGAGGCTTGGAGCTTTAGCATCATTTGTATGATGAGATTATTCGTTCAATTACCTTGACCCTCTTCACAACTTACCATTCCAGGACTGGAATCGCATACATATCTAACGTTGCAGTTCGCGAGAAATACCGGCGAAAGGGGATAGCTAAAAGGCTCATAGCCAAAGCCGAGGCTCAAGCGCGTGGCTGGGGATGCCGAGCCATCGCATTGCACTGTGACTTGAACAACCCGGGTGCGACCAAGCTGTACAAAGGCCAGGGCTTTAGAGGCATTAAGGTCCCGGAAGGAGCGAATTGGCCTCAGCCCAAGACATCTCCGGACATCAAATTTAGCTTCATGATGAAGCTTCTCTAGAGCCCGGCCGCCGCCTGTAGACATTCTTAAGAGCAATATATTAGGAAAGATAAGACGAAGGAGAAATGTAGATTAGGAGTGACCTTGCTTACTTGTAAATTTGTTAAGAATGAGACTTAAGGAATAGCTGTAGATCTTGCTGCACCACATGGTTGATGCTTCTGCGTGATGTTAGTACCATCATTATTTGTATGATAAAATGTCTGAAGCTCTTGCGATGACAATTTTGTGAAAAATTTCATACTTTCTGAGAATTTCCCTCCTATCTTACACATGTTTCGAATGCATAACTCTTCAAAGCAGGAACAAAAACTTGGCTTGCTCCCGTAATCTTCGTCAAGAGGTTTCGAGTTCGATTCCTATCTTTTTCTAACGACCAAATAAATAGGACGACAATCGCACTTCATTCAATAGAGGGGTGTGCATTCATACTTCACAATCTGCATGGGCGTGGAAATCCATGGATATCATTTTTAGATTTCTAGCATTTCAATGTGATTCTTATTTGCTTTTTTATTGCACTGAAAATCCTAAAACTTGTCGTAAATTGAGTTCTAAAACGTTCAAAAAATGCAATCAAGTCTTGAAACTTGTTAAGTTTGAGCAATCAAGTCTTAAAACTTGTTAACATTTTCAGTTTGTCAAGTAGGACGGAGTTAATGGAAGGACTTGATCGCCCTTTTTGAAATTTTTAAGATTCCATTACATTTTTGTGACAAGTTTTAGCATTTCCGGTACACTTATCCTTTCTTATTTTCTAGACATGGCCACGGTTCGGAACCGGCCAGTTCCGGTTCGTGGCCGTGTATGAACCAGGACCGGCGGTTTCAGGCCGGTTTCGGTTCCGGCCCGGTTCGGAACCGGCCTGTAAAAATTTAAAAAATAAATTATGAAATAAAAAAAATAATGAATTATCAAATTATGAATTAATGAATTATTCAATATAAAATGTAATCAAAATGTACATTGTAATCAAATTTGGGGAAAAAAAGAGTTTCTCCACATATCTGCAGTTTTTTTTTTTTTTGGAACCGGGCCCGTAGGCCACGGGCCGGTTCCGGTTCCGAACCGCGGGCCCCTCAACGGGCCGGTCCCGGGTTTGACCCGGGCCGAAACCGGCCCGTGGCCATGTTTTTCATTGTCTCCGATAAATCTGTTAAACCAATTTGGAAATGCAATGATACGCTTCGGCCTGGGAGGCCCATGAGAAGGCCCATTGGGCCCAGCCTCTCGGCCCGCTTCCTCGATCCTTGTGGGCCCATCTCTGGAAATTATCATTTCCTTTTTCTCCCATCTCTATTCATACTATGCCTGTCCGATCTCTCTCGCCTTCTCTCTCCATCTCCTCCTCTCTCTTCTGCAACTCGATTTCGGATCACCGTCGCAAGTGCGAGGAGAACTCGAATTGAATTCTCAGGTAATTCGCGAGCTCACGCACCTTCAAATCACGCCGATTTCCCCCGTATTTCCCGAGAATCTGTTCTCCGGCGCTCGCCGGCGGAACCGATTGAGCCGGAAAAACGAACGAGACGGATCGTCTCTCTAGATCGAGCGGAATCGGTCTTTCTCACCCCCTTGGTCGCGGTTCCGGATGTGTTTTCTGAGCTGATTTCGCTGAATCGGCATTGGTATTCAGGTTGGAAAATGGAGGACGGGAAGGAGCAAGAGCGTCCGAGCGCAAATGCTCCGGCGGATTCCGAGAAATCCGTGCCTTCGTCCCAGGAGGAGGTTGCATATGCTTGTCTTACTCCTTTCCGTGCTCGAATTCTCGCGGATTAGCCTCTGAGCTGTGTTTGTTTCACTGTTTTAGTTCGCTTTTTGTCGTGAGCGATTACGCTGCGAGGCTCATCGAGTTCGCTTCTGGATTTATTGCGTATCTGCCTGCTTGATCGTGTTAGCTGGTAGAACCGATGTGAATTTGAGATTCGTCTGCCTGCTTGATTGTGTTAGCTGGTAGAACCGATGTGAATTTGAGATTCGTGCTATCCTTAACACTCTGTGTTGGCTGGACGTTGTCCTGTAAACTTGCTTATTTATACGCATTTACGATGTACGTTTACTTTTCTATTAGCTGAAATTGTTATTGACTTGTTGTGGAAAGTCCTTGGCCTTTGGAGTAATTTCTCATTTGCTATTTGCTTGTAGATATCTAAGAAGGATGTTATCTATTGATTACTTGTAGGCATTATTTACCGATTGCTTTGTGCATCAATAATTCTACTGAAGTTTGTTAGGAACCAATGGGATAGAAAGAGATGCACCTATGCAAGAATACAAATGAATATTTCTTTCTGATCATGTTATTACTGATGACATCGTTCTAAAATAATTTTTCTGAAGTTTGTAAGTTATATTTACTACATTAACCGATGAATTAATAGGACAATCAATTGACATCCATTCTGATCATTCAAGAAAAGAAAAAGATTTAGGCATCCATTGTGGATGCGTTTTCCGTAAACTTAAATATGTGGAATTGTTAGTTGTTTTGTTTGCTTCTTTAGAAATTGCCTAAGCATCACAACATCCTGCAAGTTACCTCTGTTCTAGTTTCTGAATCTATGTGATCGGCACATATTTGTTTTACACTTCAGGAAGCAGTTGTTAAGAAAAAATATGGAGGAATAATGCCCAAAAAACCACCACTCATTTCTAAGGTATTTATGGTCTTATATTGATGGTTTCCAAGAGATGTTGGTCTTTTGTGGTCTTTACTTAAAATTTGACTTTGTTGCCAGGACCATGAACGTGCTTATTTTGATTCTGCTGATTGGGCATTGGGAAAGGTACTTTAATTTGAATGATGTTCTTCCCTGACTCATTTTTTGTGGTTCAAAACTTGAATATGGAGTTGAGCTATCTCAGTAATATTTGCCAATTGACTTTTGATTATTACAGCAAGGTGGTGAGAAGCCAAAAGGACCTCTTGAAGCCCTTCGTCCCAAGTTGCAGGTAATCGTCGAGCTGGCTTTTTGCTTTTTGCTTTTTGCTTAATCTAAATCTTGTGGCTGATGCACTTTGACTTTCTTAACCTAAAACATCTCAAATTTTCACAATGTACAGAATGTTGGCACATAGATTCGCATATAGTTTTTTTCATAACTTTTTATCCTAGATTTTGGCAGGAAAGCAGAAAAGTTGTTTTTCGATTTTGAAAAAATATAAACAGACATGCCCATAATTTCTTGTTTAATTGGATACGGAGCTGCACTGAATGTGACTGTTTTATGGATCTGATGGGCTTAAGTAGTGTTTTGTCACTAAAAACTTTACGAGGCCGGCCATGCAGTTTCTAAGTGCATATTGCATAATTTAATTGATGGCGAAAAATGTTTTAAATCTTTGTCGACTGTAGAGCTGTGACTTCTCTTTCCATTTTTGCCATTTTTTAGGATCTATTAGCCATGAATGGCAAGTAAGTAGGGTTGGAAATTAGTCAGGCAAAAGTGGTTTGGGTTAGGGAAGGGACTTAATGGAGATATCCCTAAATATAACAGGGCGATATACCTGTAGATATCATAATTGGTCATATTTCAATCACTCAAGAAGCTAGTAATGTAGCAAAAGGCCGATTAAGAAAAAGCCTTCTCGCATATACTGATATGTACTTCTCTTGTGTACAATTGCAAAATTGTATGGAGTTCTGGACCTGACTTCAAAGGTTTGCAAGAACTGAACCTTTTTGTGCATCTTCGTAGCTTAATTATGTGGAGTATTAGAGAAACTACGTTTTAGAATACTTAGTTTCTAATTTTGCAAAAGGAAACTGGCGATGAATTTGACGAGATATCAGTTTGTTTTATCTCCTCGATACCTATTAGGAATCTGGGACTCTTGATGCCATGAAATTAGTTTATCTGTCAGTACCTTTTCTTATAAATGTTAAAGACAACCGGTACCTGAACCTATCAGTAGATGATCAAATTGGATGAATGAAATTTTACGTGCAAAAGTTTTCTTTCTGGCACTACTATAGGAAATGATAGTTTCAGATTTGTAACATCAGGCACTGTTATCACTGGGTAACTTACCCAGCATATGAGAGAGTGCGAGGTCTAGTGTTTTTGATTTATAGATTGCTCTAATGAAATGTTTCAGACAATGAGATTTGTACCATAGCTGTCATATTATTCTTGTTCTTTTTGACGCTGTGTTATTCCTACATTTAGACAACATTCGTGTTTGCTAGGGCGTGTGTCCTTTGTAGTTGCTCTTCCCCTCCTCCCTGTTCCCTGGTGGTTTTTTTCCTGTTTGCTTGAATGAGAGAGGGTCCTTGTGCTTTCTGTCCTTTGGAACAAGATATCCTGATCTCAATTTACATCTGAGAAATGTTTTCAAGTCCTTAAATAAGAGGGTGAGTTGGTTAAGCTAACAGAGGCAGTGACATAATTTTTAATCTCCATGAAAGGAAAAGCTTCTCATCAGATCATGAGTCAATGGAAACAGTCAGTTTCATGCAACTTACGGGTGGAAGTTGGGACTTTTAAGTGTTTTCAAACATTGCTAATCCTCTTGATTTGAGTTGTGCAAACACTTTGACTTTCCTAGAATTGTTCATTTAAATTCACTTTCGGCCTATTTATCTGTCACTGTCCTAATGGTCCTAGCTTCTAGACATCAGATCATATAGGCCTCAATGTGACAGCTAATAAATTTCTACAGTTCTATAAGTGGTGGATTGATACCCTTGCCAATTTGGGCTATGCTAGCTGGGGAAGTACCAAAGATAGTTAAGATCTAATTTTTCAGGTGAGAGGGAGATCATGCCCACATTATCTTTAATAATCCGCCATTGTAGCTTAAAACTACTGGGCCTTGGGGGGAAAAGATAATGCAAGAGAAGTCATGGAGTAATTTTGATGAATCAGTTCCAGCACTATTTATTAAGTGCCAACTCTCAAGAATATTAAATCACTTTGCATTATCATGAATCATGACATTATCGGCAGGCCCCGTGTTTGCAAATTCTGTGCCTCATTTGGTTATCATCAGGACTATTCAATCGTAGATTTCTCCTCTAGAAATCATGAGGGACTAGCTTCTCCTCTCTAGGATCACATATGTGGGCCAAGGCTAATTTAGGATGAGTATCTTGATGAGCAGTGGGGCTGCACGCCTGTTGTGCACGCAACAGGCGTGTCCTTGTACTTGAGGTTGTCACTTGTTGGAGCTCAATTAGCTTTCGTCAGTTGCATTATCATGTGGTCTGTTGAGTATCATCCAAAACAAATTATCTTCAAAAAACTAACATGATATTTACCCTATTGAGCATGCCTTTTTTTCTTTTTAAGTCTGCTTTTTTCTAACGTGGTTCTCATTGAGTGTCTGTGTTCCTTCTTGCCAGCCAACACAGCAGCAAACACGCTACCGAAAGTCTCCTTATGCTCCTTCTGGTGAAGGTAAGCCTGCTTATTAACATTACCACCCCAAAACATCTTATCAACCCTCTTTGTTGAGAACTGCATAAGTGCACATCTCTACAGTAACTTGGGTAACTCCACATCATTTTCTTTCAGCTTATGTGAAAAAAAAAAATAATTGACTGCAATGTTCTTTCTTTAGATGGTGGGAATGCTCCAACCGAGGAAGCGACTCCCCATGAATGAGAGGCTGCTTGTGAGGACTGTATCACCTGCTATTTGACGTGTATGCAGTTTGCAAGTAAAATTCTTGTTGCTTCCAGGAGTAAAAAGTGGGAGGGTGACGATTTGGTGTTAGCTAAGAGAGAGGAAATTGATAGAGACTGCAACTCTCCATTTGAATTTTTCTGTTTTGGCGCTCCTAAATTTCGTGATTGAAAACGGTTCTCTTCTGAGTGAAGGGCTGATTGACATTGGAAAAGAAGAAAACGGGAGGTTTATATTGGGAGTTTATTATGAGCTCTGTGCCACGTCTCATATGATGAAGTTTAAAATTTCAGTCATCTCTCTTGTTTATTCTAGTGTGATGAATTGGAAACCAAAATAGGCCATAAAACCAGAAGGTTTCAGGCTTTCAGCCGAAGGCCCTTTGAATTCTGCACTGCAGTAACAGGAGAGAAATTGAACAAATGACTCTGCCTCCTTGATTGGCTTTGTTCAGCAGTCCTCTCCAATAGATGGAGCACTGTCCTGGTTGTTCTTTCGTTATCCCTTTGAGATGGTTAATGTCCACAGGCTCAATAGCTCAAAAGAGCCACCGCCTGTTTAAATGGTCCTTCGACTATCGTAAGATCAGATTTGGCCCTTCGGTTCACTTCGAGGCGGTACATAAAGATCATGTGTTGGAATTAGTTTTGTTAAACTTGGGCACCTCATCTTGCCTTCTAGCTACTCGCAACTCAAGCTTCAAAAAATTGATCCTCGACAATAACAGATTAAGAGATCGGGAAGTGGAAGGTCAATGTCATCCAAAACTCAAAGGGCTAAGCTACTAGCATGTCATGGAGAAAAGTCGTGGTGTGATATTGTTAGATACAACTCACAAGGATCACACTTAGCGTGCTCCTACATCTTAACCACCAAAGAACATAAATAAAAAAAACCATCCATAACATCCCGATAACTAATCTCACGCTGAATCATGGAAAAAGTCTCGAGTACTAGTGGACTTTTGTCCATATTATTCTTATTAACTTCTTCATCGGCCATCTCTGAAAGTTTCTTCAAGTATATCAATACCACTCAACTGTTAACTGGTCGATCAAAATTGAATGCAGAGTTATTCCTCTCAATTGTCCTCGTAATACTACCATATATTACACGGGCCTTATTAACGATCGTCGGTATATTTACTAAGGAAATATTTTGATCTTCAATGCGTTAATTGCACATAACTCGAGGGAGGTGGCGTATCGAAAAGTATAACGTGTCCTCTAACCGGTGTTTCGTCAAAAAATTGAAGGACACCCATTTGTAAAACCATGGTGATAACGAAACGCGGAAAACAAAACAAGAAATGACTCAGACGCCACACGTGATGGAGCCAAAAAGTTGGCCTTGGTCTTGCAATTGCGTCGCAAATGCAAATCCCCCAATTTTCAAATGCGATCATATCCAAGTAAAGAAAGAGGGGGAGACAGGGGAATCAGAAGACAGACTGGAGTCATTCCCATTCACGATCCATTTTGCTTGCGTGAAGTTGGGCTGGGTTGAGTTGACTGATGTATGGCATGGAGTTGTGTGCAACCCCCCTGGCATTCTTGGATCTCGGTCCGTCCTCCCCCCCGTGCCCCCATCTTTCATTATCCATTTTAACTTATTATTAAACCCTCCTCCTCCAAGCGACATCGCACCACGGAATCCCATAAAAACTTCAAACCCCTGCCTCCTTGGGTTTACCCCCCCAAGAAAAAAACTTTCAAGTGGCAAGTTCTTTCAAACAAAAGGAGAAAAAACCAAAAAATTTACGAAAGTCAACCCAATTTCCCAAAAGTAGAGAAAGTCACGGCCTTTGAGACGGCGCGTTTACTGTTGCTCAACATTGTTTTGCTCATGTGATCCTCCCCCCCATGTCAAATTTTCTATCTTCATTCTTTTTTTTAAGTAATTTAACCTTGTATTTCTTAGCTGGTTTCTCAGTGAACTCTTCTTGGGGTCTCACCGTATTTCAATCCGGTCATATTCATTTATTTTTGGGTAAAAATTATCAAGGAACCTCAAACTATATGCACCATGATACATTTACTCTAAATTTTTTCTCAGTAAAACATAAAATCTCAAACTTATACTCACGTGACACATTTGCCCTCCATCAAGATTCTATCAATGAGCATCCTTAAAAATCTGCCTGCTCGCAGGAAAGCAAACACCGTTGACTTGGTTAAGTGAAATAAAAACGACATTGTTTTGGCTGAAAAATCATCTGACGGAACCTTAACGGAGGGTAAATGTGTCACATTGGTATAAATTTATGGGTTTTTTGTGTTACTCGAAAAGGTTTAGGGTAAATATGTCACACTTGGTATATTTTGAAGTTTTTTGGTGTTCCAAAAGAAGTTCTAAATGTGTTACGGTAGGCATAATTTGAGATTTTTGACAGCTTTTTTTCCTCTCTTTTTTTACCCGTTTGTGACTGTGGCGCATATGCATCCATTGCAATGGTATCTGCAGCTCGACAAATCTCCTGAAACAACCGCATGCGTAAACGGATTGAAACCTTCTTTGCGCGTCGATGTTGGTCGAAGTCACATGTGAGTTTTGATAAGAACTGCATCGAAGACGGTCTCGGACAACGCAAGTTTGCTGCGTCCCCGGCATGTGAACGCCAATTGGGTAAACCGTCTTCATTAGGTACGTGGACTTCGAAGGGACACAACTGCGTCTGTCTAATCTTTTTCCTCCGCCTCCTCTTTCTTCTCTTCATTGGTAAGAGAGAGAGAGAGAGAGACTTTGCTTATTGTTGAAGGGAAGAGAAGGCGTGCGGATCAGGAACAAAACAAAGGGTGTTCCTAGACTCACGAATCTTGGTCGGCCTCATGGTCATGTCAAACTCTCTCTCTCTCTCTCTCTCTCTCTGCTATTTGGGGTGTCCTAAGGCCCTAGGCAAGACCAAACCCCAGTTGACTAATCTTTAATTACACATGGATTCCCACGTTAAATTGCAATTATTATATAAAGTATACGAAGGGACCGGCCCAAATCCCACGAATTGACATAAATGTTTCCCCACGAATTGCGCCGTACAGTGTAACTATAGTAAAGAAGTAAGGAAAACCAAAGAAAGATCGAAGCACACGAGCGCAGCGCATTGGGATTGCGATGGTTGAACGTGTTTGGAAGCTTGTCCGTCTTCGGTGCCTTCCCGTGTGCCACCCTCCACTCCATGCCATTGTCACCCCCGCTCCTTTTTTTTATTCGATATGGATTTCTATAAGGATTATATCACGGAAAGTTCGCGACGAAAAAGTTTGATTTCGAAAATATCGATTGTACATGCTATACAAGGATATCGATGGGAGGGTTCGTATGTGAGTAAGATTCGACTCAAGAACTTGCGAAACCAACATGAATTATGATATAAATCTAAATATCGAGTTTATTAAATGAAAATATGTATCTCTCTCTCTCCCTAAACTTTTTCTAGCTTGGAGCCATTTGAACACGATTCCGTTTGTGGATGCTTCTTGTTCCAGGAATCCAACAGGAAATTCCTTAAATAATGAGAAAACATGGAAGATAAGAAGCTGTCATTTGACTAACATTTGCCCCTAGCATAGGATCTATAACCACAAAACCCTAAAAATAGTTGTAAAACTAAGTTGTAGCGTTCAACAAAGTGCACCTCCGTTGGGATTCTGACTTTTGTTTTTATGTTTCGTTACCACACCATTAAATATTTAACGCCAAACCTTCCTTACGACCCGGCTTCCTTGGTCCTACCTCCCTGTCACAATCTCACCAGAAATCTGCAAAATCAATGCGAATTTTTTTATCTCTTTAGTTTTTTCACTCGCTAGAGTGGAATCTGAATCTCATTTCTACTTCCTTTTCTTTTTCATTATCTTTTGTTTATTCCTTTTCTGAAGGACCCTCGTTGTCAATGCTGTGTTTTCCCTTCGTTGCTAAGCAGCACACTCTTTGTCAACTCAGCAGGTAAGAACTTGAGCCTATTTTCAGGACAATAATTCTCAGTCCCACGTGCAACTCTGGTTCGTTTGAAATTGACAGATGACAATCACCTGTTGATCGTGATACTTGACAGTTTCTTTTATTAAAATGGTTCGTGAAAAGAGAGAACTTACAAAGTCAAGTGGTTGCATCCACTGTGTTGAAACTTTTTCGAGCCTAATGGTTTTGCAATGTTATATGCACACTGAACTGGCTGAATGCATTCTAGAGATGGATGAATAGCATGTGGCTATTAGTGCAGAAGATCGCAGATGTGTGTGTGTGTTTGTGTATGTGTGTGTGTGTGTGTGTGTGAGAGAGAGAGAGAGAGAGAGAGAGAGATTACTCCCAGCACATGATCACAGTGATTTTCCAATGGCATGCATAATGCAGATCAAAATGCAACTTTTTTATCTTACATGGGCAATATGATTGTTTGAAGTATAATGACCTTCCAGATGGGTGTATGAAGTTGACTTGACACACAAGAAGGGGCCGAGAAAGAAAGCAAAAAGATGTACCACTGCAAGCAAAAAAAATACACAGATTTGAATGTCGCACTTAGACCCATATTAAGTGTCCTACATGAGCAAGATGGGTTTCTGTTTCTGACCTAATCTTGCTTTAAGTATCATCAGATTCTGCTATGTTGTTTGAGCTTTGCATATGCCCCGATAAGATCGCATTGACAGTGGGTGGGTGTAATTCAAGAAGAGGGATTGCAGATGAGAGCATGGAAACGGAGGCGCGAGAAAGCCATTGATAATTCTAATCGAACAACTTACTAAATAAAGCTGCATTAATTACTCTTCTAATAATATCCAAAGTAAAAGATGGATTATGTGGGTATTTCACACATATCCAAATGCAGAAGAAGATGAAGATAATAATCTCAAAATTCATCTGTACATTTAATGGCTCATCATCAGCTATCTCGCTAAATCTTCGTAGCGTAACCCGCAGGAATTGTTAATCTCTTTGCTGTCTTCAAGAAGTCACTGCAATAGAAACCAATTTCGGAAACATTAAATCAAATGAAGAAGATGCAAGAAAACAGAAGGATCCAACAAGAATCACGAAATATGAGTAAGAATAAGACGGTAAGAAGAGGAAGCTAGTTTACCTAAAGGGTTCATCACCAGCATTCTTGATAGCACCGGCAGCATCCGAGTAGAGGACTTTACTGAGCCTCTCCGAGCCATTTATCCCAAACATGTCCCTGAGATTCCTATACAGCTCCTCATACGAACCGAGGACCGACAGGTCTAGAGTTCGCCCCACGTTTTCCGACTCCATGAACACCTTGCAGTGACCAGTCCCCAAGTTGAGGTCAGATGCCCGGTCTCGTTTAAAGCCGGTGAATCCATCGTCAGAAGAGCTCTCCACCGTGCCGTTGTAATACAACACGTTGTTGCGGGACCCCTCGGAGGAGTTCGACATCCTCTCCTGATTCCCCTCTGACGAACATCTTCCAGTTGTGTCCCCAGAGCAACTCTCAGAGTTCTGCTGATCAACGAGAATGAGTTGACCGAAGAGTAATATGTGGGGTGACTTCTTTTCGCAATTCTCCTTTGAGGAGTTTTCCGAAGTTCCCATCCCGAGCAAGCAAGAGATGCTACCATTGTTATCCTCCGGCGCACCAAAGAAGGTGCCACCTGAAAATCTGGTAGATACTGAAGTGTGATTGAGGGGGTGGGACCCCACCGGAAACAGACCCGAGTGCAGTTGATTAAGACGGAGGTCCGATGAAGATCTTAGGAATTGAGCATGCCTGGCTCCCTGTATGCCTGCGGGAATGTTATCCGGGATAAAACATAAAGGGCTGTTTGGTCCAAGGGGGTTGTTAGGAAAAGGGGGGACCGGAATCTGGTCGAGTATGGGAAAGTTTGGCGGTGTCCTTAACTTCTTTCTTGGGGGGGAGAAAGGTGAGAGATGGATAGAGGGCATGTTCGACACCAACTCTACTAGCCATGGACTGACACTCTTCACATTTTGGAGTAGATCTGGTTCATCCCAAGCAACCTGCAAAATCACACGCACGAATTAGTTTTCAGTAAACATGAGCATATACCGATTGCAACATTGGAAAAAAAAATGTCTGGAATGACCTGTCCTAAGAAAAATGATGGATCCTAGATCCAGTTATTTCGAAATGTCGACTGCATATCTGATTCAAAATGGAAGATGAAGAGACCAAGGGTTTGTCTAGGCGGTCAAGGAGTGAAGCACTAAACCTAAGCTTGAGGCTTAATGATGTACCACCGATTCATTGCGCAATGTTCTATTTCTCCTTCATTTTCCCCAAGAAAAGATAATGGCCAAAGAAACACTATTCTAATTATGCAGACATAGCAGATGAAGGCATTTCTTGCCAAAGTTGACAGATGCAACTAGCAGATCGAAGCGGAGCAAGCATTCATACAGAAAGCAACACTCGAGAATTTACCATTTCAAGTGAAAGCATACTGAATCAGAAAAGTTTGTGTTAAAACCAAGGGAAACAACAAAAAGCAATGCACCAGAGACTAATTGAAATTTCAGAACCCTTAGTCAATGATGAGTGTGCCGAAACATTGTTAAGAGATACCTGTAAAATTCGCCAAGGGGAACTAGGCCAATGAATCGGGTCAGCGACCTGTACAGATGATATAGTCCCCATGAACCAGCTAATTCGAGAAGCATCCTCTGTCTCAAACGGCATCTTGAACCTCATTCCTGAGCACCACTGGACCTGCATTGCCAAGCTAACAGAGGACGCCCTCACGAAAAACTCTGGAGTACCAGCGCGAGGATAATACACCACCTCGAATGGCTGTCCTTTCGCTGCCAGAGTCGCTGCCTGTAATACAGATTCACCCGTCACTTTCCTCCTGAATTCCCCACCACAACTTTTCTGCATCAAATTACTCCCCTCTTCCCGTGCGAACATCGAGTATCCTCCGAAATTCCCAGAGGCAGAGTTCCATCCACAAGCATAGTCCTGCCCACCTACGCCGATCCCCCGTTTCGCGCGGCGTATCCCGACACAGAGATCCCCATTCTCTGCTCTCAGGAACACAATCGAATCGCCGGCTACAAGCTTCTTCTGGTTCACGAAATTCCCCCACCCCGTGGTCAAAAGATGGCGACGCGGGGTCCCTCTGTATATGTGCCGGAATTTCCAGCTCTCTCCGTGCACATCCTTGGCCACTATGGTCTGAACTGGAGGTTCGGCTGAGTAATCCAAGCGAGGGAATATCGTCTCTGCGCAATAGCGCGGCACAGAGAACCCCCCGCCGTTATTCGCGTCCGACTGCGTTAACGTCTTAGCAAAAGACGCCACCTTTTCTAAGTTCTCCATTCCCTCATTTCCTAGAGAGCCGTCATCGTCTAGGTGATGATACTCGTCGCTTCTCATAGGTGTAAGGGTTATTTTGGCGTAAACCTCATCATTTTCGGGATCGGCCATGTACTTTATGGCGGCGAGCCTGCAAAGAATGAGAGGGGGGATTTGGGAGCTCCCGAAATCGACGGTCCCTTGAGCGTGCTCGGCATGGCCTTGAGGGAAGTAAAAGACCTTCGAGTTCACCGGTGGCATTTGAACCATACCACCGGCACAAGCGTGCCAGAGTTGAGAGTCTAAGCACTTTTGTGGGTTCCTCTTCAGCGATTCTTTTCTTGAATCCATGATTGAAATCATGAAGCGATCGCGGACAAGCTCAAGCATACAAAAATCCTTCCTCGCCAACGGATCTCTGAGAATCTTCTGCGGTTGCAAATACAATCGTATGAGTTCACATGATTACCGACAAACGAAACAGCAATGAAACAGAGCCACCCGCGCACACTGCAAACAAAAATTTCGGCAATAATTGACTTATAAATTAACCTGAGAGTCACAATTTTCAGTTCACAAATGTATAAAGAAGACATCTGCTTGAATTGAAACTTCATTTTTTGAAAAGATTTCACAGAACAGAGTAGAATCATAGCCACCGAGTTTACATCCTCTCAGCTTTCTCACCAACCAAAGAAGCAGTAATCAGATTCAGCCTGAAACACACCTCTGAAAACAAAAGCGACGAGGGGAATAAAAAAAGAAAGGAAAAGTGTCTTGCCTTTCTGTCAAATCCAAGAACCAGAACAATTCCGACTTTGAGACCAACAGGCAATCTTCACTCCGTGTCAAAGGTCAGAAACCGGAGGAAGAATCGAATCCCAGAAGCCAACGAAACTCCAAAACTGGTTTCTTGAGGTCGAGAAAAGCAAAGGACCCGTAAAGCTCAATCCTTTTGCGAGGAAAAAATGGTAACAAGAGAGAAGGGTAACTCTGCTCTAGAAAGAGAGAGAGAGAGAGAGAGAGGGAGAGGGAGAGGCTCTGGGTGTGGTTCCTGTCTGGGGGAAGTGTAGACAATCAGAGGCTTTTTAAGCGGTTGAGGAAAGTATAACAGCCCAAAAGAAAAAGCGGTTCAGAAGAGAGAGAGCGAGAGAGAGAGAGTGTCCACACAACACTGTACTCTCTTCACACACACACATACACACATACCTGAAGCTCCCTTGCCGACCAAACTGTTACAATTTGACAGGGAGAGCAGAGCAAATATATATATATATATATATAAACAAGGTTAATCTGCAAGATTAAATATTTGTTTGTTTAGTTGTTGGTGTCAAGTGTTGCGTGGTTTGTATTTTGTGGGAGCAGAGATTTTCTTGATGCTTCGATCCATGTTTGTTGCATGACCCCGAGGGAAAAGCCAAACCAGGGTGATTTTCACTCCTTGATTTCTCCTTCCCCCCTTTGCTCGTCGACAAACCCCACTGAACATGATTCTAGACACCCAAACCAACATTGCACCAACCCACCAACAAGTTATGCAGATCCATTTCCTTCCATTGCTTTAATTAAATAGCGTGTCGAAGACATGTGTTTCTTGGTCACACCCATCTACAGTCTTCGCTTATCTATCTGCGATGGCGTTTAGGATTTTTCCTGAAAACTCTTTTCCTCTCTTTTTTTCCTTCAAAGAACTCTACAAACTGGGGACGACTGAGGTCGACCAGAAGGAAAAAAATGGAAAAAAAAAAAGGAGAGGAGGAAATCAAGAATGGTGCAAAGTCAAACCAGAAGGAATCCTAGCAATCAAGAATGGTGCAAAGTCAAAACACCCCCAAATAAGCTCTTGCAAGAACCCCCCCACCCCCATGTTCAAGATTGTGTTCCACTTCACAGAGTCCAGAGTCCACACCACCATGGCAAGTCAAAATGGCTCGTGCATGAAGCATCCTATGAACCAAGGATCCCAACATTTTTTAAACCGGTCATTGCATGCATTCCCATGAAATGGAGAAAGAAAAGATTTCTTTTGGCTTTTCGGGTTCATCATTTTTGTATTTGTTTATTTATTTCATTTACGTTGTGAACAGGCAAAAGTCTGTCAAAAGGAGAGGGCGAGTTCAACGGGGAGGTTTTCTCTGAAATCAAGGCAACCGTAATTAAAAGATTTCACAATAACAATTAGTCAAAGATCATCTTGTTCAAGGCCCCCTAACTCTGCGGCAAACTAGGGTTAGGGTTTCCTTCCTTTTAAAACTAACCGGGTTTTGATCATCAATGTGTGCTTGGTAATCGGTCAACCAAGACAGGATGTCATTGGTTGTTTGTGTGCGTTCCCGATTCCTTGGTCGCGGGACAGCAAATTAATATATGGGACACGAGAAACAAACCGTATTTTGTTTAAGATCTCTCTTCTTTTTAAGGTCTCTCTTTTGATGCCTTCTTCGACAGCTTTTCTTTGGAGTATTTTCCTGTTGTCAACCTTCACTTGACTTCCAAATTCACTGTCCCCGAAATTACAGAGTCGAGAAATATCAAAAGAAATTTCTCAGATCGGTGCTCTTTACATCACAATTCACAAAAATGAATTCTATTAACGAGTGTCCTAAACACTTAATCGAGGGGAGTTTGCCATTTCCAGTACATCATATGCCCGGTGTCGTGCATGTTCAATACATCGAGGACGAAAACATTTTTCCGATAGATATGATTCGTAAGTATCCAGAGGACCGCTCTTTATAACATCTTTACAACGCAAAGTTAAAAAACCCCTTAGTTATGATTACTCGAAAAAGAAGGACAATGTGATGCGTGCAGTTCTGTTCAACAGTATTGAACGTGAGTTATATAGATTATGAATGGCGCATGATGTTTATCCATGTCCCACTTTGAAATCCGACACGCGCTGGTGGGACGTCAATGTTTTATCTTTCCGGACCTACCCATGTTCTTGCAGTCTGCCTTTGGCCTTTCCCACTTTTTGGATTAGAAAAAGGCATCTATTATTTTCTCTCCAAAGTTTAGGTAAGAAACATAATGATTTCAGGCTCTCTCTCTTTTTTTTTTTTATCTGTGAAAGTGGTGGAAAGAGATGATAAGCATCTGCTGCCCCCTCGAATTATTACTATGAGAGTTCCATATGAATATGGAAAGTTCGTGTATAAGTCGTAACTACTGCCCTTTTTGAGCGATAGGGTCAATCGTGACTGCCACCCCATTATAATGTCAATGGAAGTAGAGCCGGAGTTATCCTACATTATGACCCGGAAACTATGACGCAGACGAACCAAGGCTTCCTGAAACTGAGGAGCGATTGAGAAATTCAAACCTGTGACCAGGGGGCCCCAAACCTTTTGTGAGTAAACCCTAGATCATTAGGCCAATCGTGATAAGATAGTTTTAAGCTTTAAAAATATGCGGAAAACATATTTTTATGTGCTTTGAAGGTATTAGGGAGTTTAAATAAGAGTTAAATTTCAAATTTTAGGACATAAAAAGGCGGAATAAGCGCATAGTGAAAAGGCGAAAAACCTCTATCATAAACACCCACATGAGTTACATTATGGGTAATTTTCATTCCTAAATTCGAAAGTATCGTAACAATTCCTCTATCTTCAACATGAGCAGCATAACTCCAGATGGTTACTCAAATGATAAGCGTGTTTGTTCTCCTCGCTCGAAGCTTAGGCTCGAATCGTCATATTCGCGCATTTTCTTAGGGGGGCCGCCCCCTAGAGCACAGACCCACGTTTCTCCATTAATAACTCGATACAGTGGGACGGGAGACCTACCACATCCGATAGGGATCGATCAATCGCTCAAAGAGAGCCCGGGACCTCTCGTCGATACGAAAAGAAAACCTCACGAGCAATTCGTTAGCTTTCACCCTTAAATTTTTCTAACAATTGACGGGTCATTATCGAAGCAGTGTTGGACATTGTAGCGGGAGATGAAAGCAAAGATTCTCGAGTCCCGGACAGCGGAATTAAAACCAAAGGACAAGGTGAGAGCGACCTGGGGAGGAGGGGACAAAAGTAAAAACCGATGATTGATGTAAGGCTGAAGCAAAAATCCAAAGCAAAACGGCAAGTGACTGTGACCTTGGTCGGTCAAAATTCGCGTCGTTTTGGCCACAGCACGTACTGCAAGCTTTGGGGGCAACTATTTCGATAGTGACGGTAACACCTCCTTTAGATCATATTACCATCTCCATAATTAAAAAAAAAAAATTAAGTTTAATCGATCCTCGATTAGCACATCCGATCTTTTTCAATTGCTTTTACATGGGTTTATTAAGTTATCGGAGGATCTCCTCGATCGTCGTTTAGCCATTGTTTCCGATCGCTGATTGTTTTCTATCAGAATGCCGAGCCGGGTAAAGACGAGAAGGTTAATTAGATTTCTCTTCGACCAATGAATTTTAATTCGGTTCGCTTTACCCAGCAAGGCCGCTTTATCCACGCTCGTCGAATAACTGCTTTAGTGCCGAATTACTAATAATTGATTTTCATATACGTGCGCGATAATTATCAATTTTTTTACGGTCGGATGACGTCGCATTTATCCCGGTAGCTATCATGGTGGGACGATAGGTAAAAGGCTAACGACCCACCAAGTACAGAGCGTGCTAAGGAGCATATAGGGTCGGTCCATCTCTGTCCCGTGAATTAATTCCTTGACACCGACTATGCACCAGTCCATTAAGTTAGACTTGTTATTATTGCTGGTGACACAAAGAAACATGAATTCGTCCTCCCCCGAAGAAAATACAAAACTACAAATTCAATATATTATATTTTTTCCTTACGTTAAAATGACTTGAGGATATGGCAAAAATCAAAAACAATACAGAGAGAAGACGTCTTTCTTCTTCTTCTTCTTCTTCTTCTTCTTCTTCTTTTGCATTTTTGCCAGATTTAGCTAAATTATATAATAATGATATCGCGTGGAAATAATGCTTTTCGGGGCATGTCGAGTCGAGGGCGACCCGTTAACCAAAACATGCCGTGGACTGATTGACGCGAAATGGGGACAACAACATCAAACCAAACAAAATAAAAACTAATTCCGAAAGGAACGTCGTCGATAAGGACACCATATGCGTTGCCTATCTACCGGGAAAAAAAGAAGAAGGAATAAATCGAATCGAATTAGATGGGGGAAATGAATTATTAATTTTTTATTTTTTAAAAAATTTTGGGGTGGTGGCCTATCTCGCATTTAAGCCGTAGGTGGGCATCACCATCGTCATCTTGAGTTTTGCTTTGTCTAAAGGACATCACACGCACGCCTCACCCAACCCTAATTTCCAAAATTGTAATGTTTGGGGATCGTGGGGTCTCCAATGGGGATTGTCTTGGGGTTGTCTTCTACAGTGAGGGTAGGGACCATTTTTGGACAGAGTCTCATTAATGGTTACTTGTCTCCTTACGCTCCCATTAATTTTTATCTTTTATTTCGAGACAACGAGCAAACGATCACCCGAACTTTGATCAAACGTGTAATGTGACCCCTGAACTTTTAATTTGTTCAATATGGTCCCTGGACTGTTCGGTGTTGTCCCTTAACTAGAATCGATGGAAGGACATATGGTTCATGGACTAAATTGAACATGTATCAAAAGTTCAGAGATCACATTGAACAACCACATTACCAATAGTGCTAAAATTCAATGAACAGATGATCCCTGAACTTTAGACAAACGTGCAATATAACCCATGAACCTTTAATTTGTTCAATGTGGTCCTTGGACTGTTCGGTGTTGTCCCTTAACTTGAATCGACGGAAGGACATATAGTTCATAGATTAAATTGAACATGTACCAAAAGTTTAGAAACCACATTGAATAACTATATTACAAATAGTGCTAAAGTTCAATGAAAAAATAATCCTTAAACTTTGGCCAAATGTGCAATGTATCCCCCGAACCTTTAATTTGTTCAATATAATCCCTAGACTGTTCAATGTTGTCCCTTAACTTGAATCGATGGAAGGACAATATTGAACATTTTCATTTAGTTCAGGAGCTAAATTGAATATGTACCAAAAGTTCAAAGACCACACTAAACAATCACATTACAAATAGTGCTAAAGTTCAATGAACAAATGATCCCTGAACTTTGGCCAAATGTGCAATATAATCCATGAACATTTAATTTGTTCAATATGGTCCCTAAACTTTTGATTTGTTTAATAGGATCTCTGAACTTTTGACACATGTTCAATTTAGTCCCTGAACTGAATGAAAATGTTCGGTGTTGTCCTTGAACTTAAATCGATGGAAGGACAATATTGAATACCCTCATATAGTTTAGGGGCTAAATTGAACATGTACCAAAAGTTCAAAGACCACATTGAATAATTTAAAAGTTCATGGACCACATTATAAATTAGGCCAAAGTTCAGGGATCACATTGTACATTTGGATCAAAATTTAAGGACCATTCGTGTCATTTCCCCCCTTTTTTTAATTTAATTCGATTCGATTCGATTTCAATACGCGGTTGGTATTTACAATTCGAAGCCCCGGAAATACGTGTGACCACGTATGTATTCGAATATAGAAAGGATAGGAAGACCGAGAGGGGCTTTGGTCGATGATTATGATAATCACCCATTGAAAAAAGATTAGAAACAAGATAAGAGAAAACCTAATTTGTTTGACCCGATGAATTGAACCTGTGGGATTCGTGGGGGACTTTGGGTGCGTGGTGGAGGAGCATTTACGGCAACCGCTAGTGGTTGCATTTGCATATAAAGACGATCCATTTTCACCAAATTAAAAAAGAGAGATTATTATATTAATGAAGAATGATATAAATAATAATAACACGAGATTAATTGACCAATTAACTTTTTGGATTTGATTAAGGCTCTCTCCTTCCCTTGGAGAAATCGACAACCATTTACGGTATCTGCTGAATGCTAACAGCGTTGGGGGTGTCGTGCGGGTACGTACAAAATTCTGAGACACGCAAACGCAGGCCCCTTGGATCCTTGGAATGGCGAAAGATGGATATTTTAAACATCGACATTAAAAATAATTATTGTTTTTGAAATACTTTAATGATTGCCTTTTGAGCGTTTTGCCAAATGACAACATTTCTTTATGGAACATGGTACCATACCCTAACCTCAATTTGTCTGGAGCTGGCTTGTTGGAAGTTCGTTTGCAAGGATTCTTTTTTTGATATGTCGAGCATTTAGTCGTCTTGCTACTGGCGAGGTGTCAACATGCACTGAGCAAGGCTTCACCTACCGAATTATAAATATAATCGTCGCCCTAGCTTATTTGGCATATCTTATCATTTGAAAACAGAATTCGTTGCGTAGGAATCGAGAATTCGACTCTTAGCCGATCGAACTTATTTAGGGTTTTATAAGAAGTTCATATCGGACATAGAAAAGGATTATTCTCCTTTTTATTGGCCAAATTGCATGAACAATCACCACTTTTTCTCCACTTTTCAATTTTATCCCCACTTTTTTAGGGTATCAAAATGAATCTTCACCTTTTGAACTCACATCAAACCTATCCCAAGATTAGATTTACTCCAAAAACTATGATCTAATTACCCTTTTACCCTTTTTTTTAGCATTATGTACTTGCAACATTCCTATCGAGGCCATATTTTCTATAAGAAAACCTAATTTTTTATTTACAAAAATCAGTAAAATAAAATTAAAGTAAATAAAAGTGGATGATATAAAGCCGTATATATATATATCATCCGATTTAAAAGTTAATAATGAAAAGGACGGGGTGGAAGAAAATGGCACAAAAAAGCAAGCGACAAGAGTCGGGGCACAATTAGAATTTGGAATGAATCTAACGGAATATTTCCGATTAAGTCTCGTGCAAAGGTATCCAGGACGGACTTGAAACAAATTGAAAAGGCCGGGGCATCTTTCTAACGGGTTTGAAAAGGCGGCGACGAGATTGATAACCCTCGAGAAGGCCAGGGCGGCGGAGAGTTATTTTAGCATCTGGCCTCTTTATTTTCACTTACACCCACAGGCATTTTCTAGATACAAATCGTATGGATTTTAGGCGTGAACAGTCCAACGATCGACATTTTTCAAAGCGTCGCAAAAAGTCGCACAAAATCGAGAGTCAAGAACAGGAGCGAGCGGAGCGAGGCCACCTTCGCAAGGAACTCTCTCTCCCTCTGGCTCTGATCCATCGAGCGGTGCTCATGACGAGGTGAAACGACGTCGTCGGTCGGAGGTTGACGAGACGTCACGTGTCGGAGGGGGAGGGGGAGGGGGAGGGGGAGGGGGAGTGGGACCCGCCCGAGAATCTCTGTCGTTTCCCGGCTCTTCGTTTTGGCCTTGAGCTGAGCTGAGAATGACCAAAGATTTTAATCTCTCCCTCCTCGAAATATTTTGGGTTAATACCACGAAAAGTTTCAAATCGTATTATTTATGAAAATTTATTTTAAATTAATTTTTTGATCACAAAAAATTTTAAATTGATATACATGTAACAAATTTACTTCAGATTAATTTTTTGACCATTGAAAACCCCAGACTTATGTATTTGTGATAATTAATACAAAAAAAAATCACAAACTGGTACACATGTAACAAATGGAGGGTAAAAAGTAAAATCCGGTACATCCGTCAACTGCTGCGTGTCATTTAACAGAGTAATTTGACTGTAAAATCTAACGGAAACAAATTAAAGGTAAATTTGTCACGAGTGTACCGATTTGAGATTTTTTGTGATATTAACTCAAATTTTTTTCCCCTTTTTCTTTTTCCTTTTGTTTCGCGGCATTTGTTTTCTATTTTTCTTTTTTTCTCTTTTCCTCTCCGATGAAGAAATTTTCAGGACGCAGCGAAGATTGGAACAGTTATGAAGGGAAATCCTTTTTTTTATTTTTTTTATTTAGAGAGAGAGAGAGAGAGAGAGAGAGAGAGAGAGAGAGAGAGAGAGAGAGAGAGAAGGAGAAGAGATGGGATGGATCGAAAGCCATTAAATGCGACACGTGTGGCACAGCTCAGCTGCGGGAAGTCCAACCCTCTCCCCCCCCCCCGCTCCACCTGTGCCGCCGCGTCGGTGGCCGCAGCCGCCGGCGTCGCCTTATGCGCAGGCTTTTCGAAACCACTCCTTTCCCTCCTCTGGTCAACTTCCCCCGTTTCCACACATGTATTTTCTTTTCTTCTTTCTTTTTCTTCCTTATAGAATCAGGTCTGACCTCGCCTTTGCGTGTTTCCATCGTTTGCAAGGAGAAACCGGCACACGGCGTTTCCTTGCAAAGTTTTGCTCCAGGCGCAGCAGGAGCTCACCTTCTCTCGGGCCGTGAAGAAGAGGAGCCCGATGCCTTCGTGGACCAGCCCATGTCTTGTTTCCTGGCCCACTCTCAGTGGGGGGTTAGCAGCAAATATCAGCTGATGCGGTTTTGTTAGTTGGCCCAGCCCCCTAAATCCAACTGCCGTCAAGGCCTGACCTCAACTGCTGCCACATTTTGGTGTCGAATTGTTCTGATGTGAAGCCGCGATGCGCTCCGACAATCTGGTCACGCGAGACCCATCTCATTTAAGGGCAGCAATTTGTTCGGAGATCAGAGGCAGCATAATCTCACTAGATTCCTGATCACCTTTGATATAGACTCGAATGAAGAGGCCTGAAAGCACTTCTTTGTCGTATTCCTCGGCTTTTTTGTTGACTGATTTGAGAATCCGAGCATAAACATCCCTGTTAGGAACCATTTTACCAAATTGATCTGTCGAAGGAATTGCTTTATCTGTTATAAAGCTAATTTGTTCTTTATAAGAGACTTTGTCTTTACCTGTCGAGGTATTGTCTTATAGGAATTCGTATACTATAACCAATAGTAAACTTACCATAGGAGCCACCTGAATGGTATGCACACTTCAATAAGAGCTGCATGACAGCCAATGCACAGGATATACGTGCACTCGGTCCGCGAAATATAGTTAATGGTCTGGAAAACAGTAGACATGGGTAAGCTTCCACTGCAACCTGAGCAGACCATCTCAGTTTTCGGTTAAGATTGGTAGACCAATTTGGTTTTTGTGAGTTCCTTGGAGGGATTAAGTCCCCTGGGGGTAGCTCGCCGGGTGTGTTCTTTCCGAATTGCGAAAGACCAGGTTTATCACGATTGGCCGAACCGCAACAGATACGATGCGGAGAAGTAGCGTTTTCCAAACTGCCCTCGGAAACCTCTACTTGGTTTCACCTATTCTAGTGCGGTCATCGCGATTGTGCTCTGCAACTACTACTCTGTATGGCACGTTGCTTTCAAAGACGATGATGTTCACTGTTCAGTCACGAATGCTTTCCACATTGGCAGAGTCCTAACAACACCATCATCAACAGTCTCTATCACCAGCAACGCACTTACTTAACCACCTTCGGCTGGAACGCAGCTTCGAAGTAATTCAGGACGTGATATCAACATCCGAACGCACTCGCTGAGAAGTGCCGAAAAATGGCTGGTTGATAAATGATGATTGGCGTTAAGAGAGAGATAGGTCCAAGAGTAGTTGGTACGGTAGTGAAGTTGGACTGTCATTTGTTGGTCAGAACTGGATTTCGATCTCCCAACCGAAATCCCAATTAGATAATCCATCTAATTTGGTTGCACCAGAAACAAAAGGGTCCTTAATGGTTCAGCAATGTTTCTTTGTGATAATTTTCAAGTTTGATTTAAAGTTCTATCCACCAAACGACATTTCTGCTCTTGTTGCTTGGCAATGCAAGGAAACCACACCGACTCTTGGCAACAAGTTATACCAAGGTTGCATTTGGAGTCTACAGTTCAGATCTTTGGACGATGTCGTGACAAACTTGGTTCTTGTTATCGTGTCATGTCAAGATTTGGTAATCTAACTCACTAAATGAACAGCCGCCATTCTGAATTCAATAATCCCAAGAGCACATGCCTCGATGGAACTTGAAGAACAGTGTTAGAGAGAGAGAGAGAGAGACAGAGAGACATTATAAGAGGGGAACACTTCAAGATTTCATTACTCAACTCAGAATTTTCGACTACAAGTAGAGACTGCAAAAAGAATATCCCTTGAAGAGGAACAGAGACTGCAAAAGGAATATGCAAAGAAAGAAAAACACAACACCAAAAGAAAACACTAGAAATTCCTAGGGACGACACTAACTAAGACCTGCCCGATACTCCTAAACCATTGACGACTCTAAACACCCTTTAAAGCTTTCCATCTTTCTCCACCCAAACTAACATATTATGGGATCACCTATTGCTCTAGCCCCCACCAGCTTTCTCTTCCCTGTACAATAACCAATGAACAAAGAAATGAAATGACGCTAACCCAATTAATGTAAATCAACTCGAGGAAATATCTCCCCCAGAAAAAAAAAGAGGCCCTGAAAGACATATAGTTTTGTTCGAGGAACGTTGTTCTTGACATCCCTCCCTCCCTCCCTCACATATACTCCATCTCGATGGCGGGATTCGGGATCAGCTCCGGAGGATTGGCCATCGCCTCCGGATCGCCCACCTTGGTTCTCATCTCCAGGACCTTCTTATGAGAATTCGAGTGCAATGCCGGGACGAACGTGGGGCTCGCCGCGGGGCGATACTCGGGGAAGAGCCGGCCAGACTTGTAACGCACGCCGCACGCGTTGCACAGGGTCTTCGGCCCCATGGGTCCGGCCCTCCACTGCGGGGTCTTGGTTATCTCGCAGTGCATGCATTTCCTGACCGCTTGCGCGGGAGCCAAGTTCTGGCTGGCATCGGCCGCGGCCGCAGACGCCGTCGACAAAGTGAACTTGATCTTCTTCTTCTTCTTCTTCTGCTCCGGATTGACCTGCCTCGGGATCTTGATCATGGGACGGGATTCTACATGGCTCTCCGAATCAAACAGTTGCAGGTTCTCCCCGACCGAGGACGTGGGCGAGATGAGCTGCACCACCGGCGGGCGCGGATTGAAGGTGGCGGGGCGAGGACGCTTGCTGCGAGCGCGGCCGCACCGGGCAAGAGTGATGGCCTCGGGGCTGCGCGGGGCCGTCTTCTCGTCCGTGCAGGAGCTGCTGCTGTCGAGGACGGACACGGGGCTCGAGGTCTGGAACTGAGCGTGGTTCGCCGGCTGGGTTTCCGACGAATCTTGCTCGTTGATGGCGAGGGCGTCGCCGGAGAAGGAACCCTCCACAAAGGGGGAGAACCATTCCAGCTGGTCAATGTCTTCATACTGCATATGAAGATCGAAACGACAGCCCCGTCAGATCAGAAAGAACACACTTTTCCCCACTCATCCCTAATCCGGAAAGTCTAAATTCAGCCGTCTAGGACAATCCTAATGCACAACCAAATTGGAAACCGGACCAAAACTCATGGTAACATCGAATTTTTCGCGACTCCGAACTCCTTCGGAAGATGAGCGAACAATCGTCTCGAACCACGCTCGACCATTGACCGCAAGAACGACACATAAAACAGAAGGTTCAAGCAAAAACTACCCAATTCCCCAGTGTGTCATTTTTACCAAATTCAGCATCAACGAACGCTTGAAAACCTTTCAACAGCATTTCTTAGTTTGAATTTCAGCTGCCCATTTGAACGAATGGGGTGTACTACTGCAATAAGCTGACGAAGATCGGGGACCCAACCTCGGAAGATTCAAAAAATTTGAAAATCGCGAGGCAGCGACGTGCCACGTCACGACGTCACGTGATGCCGCCAATTAATGCGTCAATCATTCACATCTGCACTGCCCCTCTCGCAGTCGCAGAGTCTCACCGACGCTTGAATTATTCCGAATTTTTCCGCCAATTGTGGTTTTTTGACCCCGAAAACGACACCGTCTCACGCCTAAAGTCAGCGTATGGATGAACACGTTCTTTTCTTCCGCCCTTCACGAGACTCGAGAAGCTCGGGCCCCGCCGAGCCAAAATTTTTGACCCCGGGGGGTGGAGGTGCACGAAAGGAGCGTGCTGCTTTGACGAAACGACACGCCGTGCCAGCCTGGCAACCGCCACCAAAAAGCTCGGCCCCCGCCCCGCCCCTCGGCGCGCGTGAGGTCATCCTCCTCCGCCGCCGCCGCCGACGGCGACGATCCAACGGCCGAAAATCGAAAGACGGGCGAGCGGACGTGGCGCAAGAGGGCCGGGAGATCATATTAAAAAAAACAGGGAAAATCGAAAACTCGGCCGAAATCAATCCCTTCCGTCACCATCGTCAGCTTTCGGCTGCATTCAATCATTTCACGCGTACGGTAGCAAATAGTTTCGGAAATCTCGAAAGCGGAAAAATTTGCGGTTGAATTTACCGGGACGGAGAGGTCCGAGTCGTGGTGGTGGGCACCGAAGACGGAGCCGGAGACGGGGAGCGAGTCCGGGTGGGCGGACCAGATGGAGGGGAAGGAGTCGCGGTCGATGGGGGGCAGCCCGGCCTCCACGTCGTCGTTGGGGAAGTCGAGCAGGTCGTCGATTTGGTCGAAGAAGCTCCCGCAATCTATCTCCTCCATCATGTTCTGGCCCGGCATTCTTTCCCTTCTCGCCTCTGCGATATCTTTCCCCCCCCCACCCCACGCGCGCTCCCTTCTTCCTTTTTTTGCCTCCCTGTGAAAACGAACGAGCGGGGAACCGTGAGAAGAGGCGCAAAACTTTCTCCCCCACCCCCCGGGGGTCTTCGGGCCAAACATAGTCGAATTCACGTACAATCGAGTTCCAACGATATATTATCAATTGGCAAAGAATCGGTTTTGTCAAAAAGCCAAATAAAGAAGAAAAGCGCAACGGCAACTTCAGTTCATTAAGGATTTATGGGAAGGTCTCGGTTCCTGCAGGCTGCGAGAAAGCAGGGAGGCTGACCTGGAGCTTGATACGGCAAAGGGAGTGAAGCAAAAGGTGCCGAGGTCGACACTGGTGGAGCTTCAGTGCCCTCCCTCTTTTCCTTTGCAAAAGGGGGGAAGGGAGAGGGAGGGGGGAGATGGGAAGTAAGTGGGAAGTGGGAAGTAGAAGCAGAGCAAGTGGTGGTGCTAGTTTATATAAATATATATATCACGGAGGAAGGAGGGGGAGGAGGAACGGTGGTGGTGGTGGTGGTGGTGAATGAGAGAGTAGTAGTGAGAGGTAGAGAGGTAGAGAGACTCGAGAGAGAGAGAGAGTATATAAATCAAAAAAAAAAAGGGGGAGGAGGTGGGTGGGAAGGCAATCCTTCTCCTTCATTGCAAGCTGTCCCTTTTTAACAACACACCATCTTCCCCCCACTGTCTTGACGTTGAAGCCTCCCTCCCCCTCACTCCCTCTGATCGCGGAGGGACCCACGCGATTCCCACCGTTCCTCCCCCTCCCTCCTTAACAACGCCTCGCGCTCCCCCCCTCGATTCCGTTTTGGTTTACAGCGGAGAAAAGGGAAATGCTGAAACAGAGAGAGAGAGAGAGAGAGGGAACGTCTCGAAGTTCTTATGGCGACATGCTTTTGAGGGAACTGTTCGTGGGAGTTGATGATGGATGGATGGATGGATGGATTTTTCCCCCTTCATTTTTGTGATGCATTTCGCGGCGTGAAAAAGGTCAATCTACAGAAAGAGGGCCCCCCCCCCCACCTCGCCCATCGGTGCATTACGCGATTGTTGGTTTTGGTAGATGGGTCCGTTTGTTTGAATTTATAATAAAGATAAAGCATTTGTAAAGGGTCAATATTACGAAATACTCCCGAAATAAGTACATATGCGATAAATTTTATCAGAAACTAATTTTTTTTATCACGAAAAAACTTCAAACCGATGTACTTATGACAACATCGAAAACCCCAAAGTGGTACATTTATGACAAATTTACTCTCCGTTAATTGGATTAATACCACGAAAAATTATAAACTGGAACACCTGTGACAACAAACCGAGGGTAAAACCCTAAATTGGTACACCCGTTAACTGCCACGTGTCATCCAACTCGGCAATTTGACGGTAAAATTTAACGGAAACTAACGGAAGGAAAATTTATCACGGGTATACCAATTTTGAGTTTTTTATAATCGAAAAATTAATTTATGATAAATTTATCATAGGCATATTAATTTGGGGTTTTTCGTGATATTAATCCTAAAAAAATATGAACTACTCGAGATGATTTGATCTAGTAAAGGGTAATGGGTAAATGTCAGCCTCGGCATTTTCTGAACGAAACTTTTTACTCGTGACTTTTTTGCTCGAAAAAGTATTTTACTTCGACGGTGGTGATTCAAATGGAAATTGAACTGGAGAGTCAACTGACTATTCAAATACGGAAATTCCCTCCATTGCTGTCGGTTGTTACGTGATTAGCTGGTAATTGCCGCGGTTTGGAAAAATCTAACGTTTGAAGAGTCTTGGTCTAGTTTGGCAAATGTCTTGGAAACGCGCCTTTTGCTTTCAGGAATATACAAAATTTCCTTTTTTTGTTCTTTTTGTGTATTTTTGTCCTTCACACCGATGCCTTTCCTTACTCTTTCCAGAAATTATTTTTCGAAGAATTATAAGCGGGTCCGGGGGAGTTAGCGTGACGATTGTTTTCCCACTGCTTTTCGTGCTTTTTTCACCTGCTCTCGAAAAGTTAAAATTGCAGACGGCGAAGGACATCTGGGGAAATACCGAGATCGTATTTGACTTCTGACCTAATCATCGATTACATATCTCTATTTCGACATATATACAGTTCACGCATCCGTGAGCAAAATCCCCATGTTGAAAAGACTAAGTTACCCCTTGTTACCGACTTATTTTAGCATCTTGCTCCGGGTCGGATGTTTCGAGTGGAGGTGAGAATTTTGGATTTGGGAATGGGCAATTATGGAATCAAATGGCCTTTCCGATAATCGGAATGACAATTGATGCGAAGGTGCGACAAAAGTAAAGCTCGGGTATCTATTCTATATTATCAAAAATGAGGGTATGTAAGTGATCCTTGTTCATTGGGTAAATGAAGTGTGTTTTTGTTGTTTTTCTTTTAGGGAAAATGACACAAATAGTCCTTGAACTTTGGCCCAATGTGTAATGTGGTCCATGAACTTTTATTTTGTTCAATATAGTCCCTGAAATTTTACCTAATGTACAATGTGATCTCTGAACTTTAAATTAAAGTTTAGAGACTACATTAAACAAATTAAAAATTCAGGAAATACATTGCATGTCTGGTCAAAATTCAGGGACTATTTGTGTCATGATCCCCCCCTTTTTTTTTTTATCTCAAATGTTCAAATCTATAAATGGTGAAGAAAGAAAGTCATATTGCTTTTAGGGTGAAGAAGGTAAAATAAACGGTAGTTTTTGGGCTTTGGCTTGTGAAGTTGAAAGTTGAAACCTGCGGGCACTGCGTGTGGTCCCCCCTTCGCATTCTCTTTCTAACAAAATTCGCACAACTATACAAAAAACACACGAGAACTTTCATTCAACATACGATGCCGCACGATAATCAAGATAAATCTTTTCACAAAATTTTAAATTCGGCCGAAAGATTTAAAAGAGGAGAAAATTCCGATAGACGACGGTCACACCGTCTGTCCGTCCGTCCGTCCGTCCTAATGGTCACACGACACAAAATACTGAATGAATGACATTTTGGGAAGCAAAACATTGGAATGTGCAATGTTTCACTCGCCATCCTTAATTAGGTATACGGGTGATTGGCCTTTCGAAATATCTAAATATATCTCGATTACGATGTAAGATGAAGTTTCATGGTCACCGGGGTTCAAATCTTCAAGTCAAAAGGTAAATTACATCATTTGTATGAAAAAAATTTAATTCTATATTTTAATTCCTCTAATAATATTTACTTCATCCCCCGAAACAAAGAACAGAACAAAAGACAAGAGGAGGAAAAAAAGAAGACAAAAAGATGGTGAGAAAACAAGTGGGAAATGACCCACTATTCTTTTGTTTGTATTTGCTAGTCTTTAGTCCACCCTTCAGTCTCTTGGAACTCTCATACCGGGGACCGCGATGACACGATTTTAGCAATCTGAGTGCCAATGCAAAAATTTGTTCATATGATTAGAGCTCCGTTTGTTTCGCAAAAAATAGACGATTTAAAAAATATTTTCTTAAAAATATCACCCGTATCGTTTACAAAAATGAACGAACGAAAATTATTTTCATCGTTCACGAAAATGTTCAGACATAAATTATTGTCGATAATGAAAAAAATTTCAATTGATCAATTATTTCAAGTGATATAAGCGATCATTTTTAGGAAAGTGTTTTTCAATCGTTCATTTTTTTGCGAAATAAAATGAGCTTAGATGTTAAAAGACTTTACATATGGACACACGCTAGTGAACTCCGAATGCTCAATGACAAGGTACGAATTACGGTCGATAGAGGCAAAAGCAGCATTATTATTCATCGTGGACCGGATAAAACACGAGCTTAAATATAAATCGGTTAATGTTAATTTTTTTCAGTCGGAGGAAAATAGAAAAACAAATTTCGAAAGTAAATTGTGCTTTCTCTCTAATCAACTAGGAAGAAGGAGGCACGTAACTATTGGAGCCACCAAACCAAGTGCATCTATAATTGGATTTTTTTTTTTTAAAGCAGTCCAAGTTCATGAAAATTGCAAGAAATTGAGTGGTGGGGTTGGTTAGATTAGAGTCCTTGAGCTATGGTTTGATTTGAATGATATCGTAGAGGTTTGGTGTCATATAAGTGGATCGTCTAAGTATTTTTTCATATATATAATATTCAATCTCAAAAATATAGTCAAAAAAGAAAAAGGTCACGAACAACCCACGTTCCTATTCTTTAAATTGCTGAAACCATTATAGCCAGCGAGGCTTTCGTTTGGAATGTGGAGCAATAAAAGCAAATCGTTCAAAGGTCCACTTTTCTTAGTCGATCGATACGATACACTAGAATTTTGGGCAACACGTGGACTACAAAAGTATACGAAAATATTCTCGTTATTTTTCTTTAAATAAAAAAAAAAGATAAGGAGAGGCGATCGGTCATCGTAGCACTCATTGGACGATATCATAAGAATTTCATGCCCATTATAGAATGTTCTATTTGACTTGTGTTAATTTACTTTTTAAAGGCGTCACTGAAGACTTCAAATGGAGTTAACCTCTCGCCATAGCTCGACCATCAGGCCAAGCATGGAGAGTTGGCTCGCGAACCTACCCTGCTTCGATATCATGACCAGTATGAAAAGATTCGGAGCATTCGCCACCGAATAACCACCTAGAGATGGTCCCGAGCTTGAAGCCATTTGCAAGTGTTTCGTATTTCCATCTCAGAGCTAGGTTTTGGATTATTGTCCCGAGCTCCATGCCTAGAGATGGTCCGTTATGAAGCCCTTGGCATAAAAAATTCAGCACAAAAAGTAAGTCACACACTCTATCAATGTAAAGAAACTTTACACGAGCGATTCACTCGCCTTTGATTTGAGAGAATTATAACTACCCAATCGCTTGGAATCAATGGTATATAAACCCACTTGTCTAAAAGACATTTTCTAAGCAATGTTAGTTGCTATAATTACTTGTTTAGTGATTGAGGGGGAAGGATTCGGTGCTAA